TCTTCAAAATGCTGTCTCAGGATGACTGGGAAATTCAGCTCAAAGCCACAAATTCCTGTAAAATTTGGCAAAGCAGCTTGCCTAAATAAATGTGTTTTTAACAGAGATACCACTCTGGAGAAGTTGGATCATTTCATCTTGATGTTTTTAACTGAAGTGAAACGAATTTGGATCTTTCATTTGCTTTAATGAAAGAGGGGAAAAAATGCATTTAAAATAGCATGAGGTATTTTATTTTTAACCAAGCATCTCAGTTGGCTCAAGAGAAAAAGAAAAACATTGCTGGTGTGTGGGGGGAAATTGGTTCAGTTGCTTGAAAAAAAGCAAAATTAAAATCTTCTCCCCAGTAAGCCACCCAAGGTGAGCCAGGATCTGGGAATCCCTCATGCCAGGTCCCATTGCTCCCAGAGGAGCACATGGAGAGGTATGGGGGGGTGACAGCACCGTCTGTGCCACCCCGGGGTGGGGGCACTGCCCAGCCATGGCCATAAACCCAGGCCAGCGTGTCAAGCAAGCAGGTTTTCCAGACATCTCTGCCTCCTCCCTGGGCTGAATGCCTGCCAGGAGGAGCGTTTGGAAAAGAGCAAGGAAGGAAAGGCTATCCAAGGCTGGACAGATGCGGCCAGTTGGCACCAGCCGCTAAATTAGCAGCCAATTTCCCGCTCACAACCTGGGGACCTGGGCTTTCAGCTGAGCACATTAAAGGCTGGAGCCCCTTTTAATTGCTGTAGATCTTAACACGTGTCCCTCAACTCTGGTGTCTCTGGCAGCCTGGACAAAGCCAGCTCTGAAAATGGGGAAAATGCTGTTACCTGGTTTATTTAGGGTCTTGCTGACGCGCTCCGGACCTGGTGCCGGCGCGGTTGGTGTGAGAAGATTCAGGCTTTGGGGCTGATTTCTCTCTCATCCCAGCATGGAGAGCAGGAAGGAGCACCATCCCTGTTGTTTCCCACTCCGTGGACACCAAAAGTTGAAAGACAGGGCACACGTTGGCCAAGGCAGGAGGCTGGGGAGCAGCGAGGATGTGGTGACCCTGCGGACGCGCCGCTGGGGCTCGGTTGCTCCGAGAGGCAGGACACGGAGCTGAGAAAGCTGTGAGACCCTTAGCAGGTCCTGTCAGCCTTATTCACGCGTTATCAGATGGGGGAAGCCCAAAGGGCTGCCAGGGAGGTAATTAATCTTGGTCTCCAGCAGAAAAGCTCTTGGAGAGGAGGGGGGAGGTCAAAACGAGCACTGTTTGAGGAGAGATGGGAACCTGGCGAATGCTTGAATGGTTTTTTGCCCTTAATGTGAAGTTCACCCCAGATCCGAAGACACCTTTGTACTTCCCCCCCGATTTAATTTGGATTTTTATTTGGGATCATCAGTTTCTCCTCACCATAAAACACATCATCATCACTGCAAAGCACTTTTATGACACCTTTATCTGATTATCCGAAAGCACTTAATCAGCATTAACTCATTAAGCTTTCCCAGGCTGCGGTGGGAGGAGGAAGGGGTCGGTGCTGGCTTGGAGAGCAGCCCTGGGCACAGGGGTGTTTGGGGCTGCAGCTGGGGCAGAGCCACGAGCATCCCTTGGTACCCAGCTCCACAGGCATTGCCAGAGGGAACTCACTGCTTTTCCTCCACGCATCAAGACCGAGCTGGATGGACATAAGGGTTCTTTGGAAGGTTGAATTGCAGAATCTTTCAGGGATCTATGGAAAAGCACCTCACACAGACTCTCAGCATCCCCAAAGTGATGCTAAGACTGCATCACCTGATCCTTGGGGTGGGATTGCTGTGGTTTACCTGCTTGCCACCTGTGCTAATATAATACAGAGGGTCTCAGGATATAATACCTGAGGTCTTGGAATACAATACAGAGGGTCTCAGTCAGTTCTGACTGTGAAGCAGGACAGGCTTGTTTAAACAACCCTCCCAACTCACAAGTTTTATGGCAGCAAAGAAAATGTCCAAGCAAATATCCATCCGTTCTTTGTCTCAGCGAAGGGCAAATTTCACTCGTGGAGCTGTGGTACTTTTGCTGAGCCCTTGTAATGCCCCATTTGCCCATCCTGGAGTTGAGGTGCTGAATGTAGCCCTGAGAATAAAGTACCAGAGCATCCCCACTCCACCAGGCTTTGCTGGGTGTCAGTGTCCCACTGCATCCAGCACAGGGGGTGCCTGTGCCAGGTGGAGGGAGTGGGGACGTTCCTGACCCCCTTCACAAGGGCAGTGGATGTGAGATATTGTTGGCTCCCCTCAGCACGGACACCCCGGTGTCTCCTCCAGCAGAATGCCAGGACAAGGAGACCCCCACCCACAGCAGCAGCACTGGGTTATTCAGGGATGGCCATTCTCCTGGCTTCAGTGGCAAATTAGACCCCTGGAAAGGGGTGGTGGGCCGGGTTGCCCATCTGCTCCTGTTTTTGTCCATCAATTAGCCCTCCTTTCCAGCGGGCTGATTGTGGTTCATTGGTTTCCGCTTCACGTTCCGCGTGGTTTCCAGACACCATCACAGAACAGCTCTGTGCTGTCTCCAGAGAGCTTTTGCCTTTGGACTCAGGCCATCTTTTTTTTTCCCCCCTTTTCTTCCCCCCCCCCCACTGTTTTTACAGCACTCCCTTGGGCCAGCTCGAAGGGTGGACCCTGTCCAAGCATGCCAGGTGCTGCAGGATGCCCAGGGTGACCACCAGCACCCACCCACCCATCATTTCACCCACTGCTGTGTTCCCAGCTCCAAACGTCTCTGACGAACCTCCCCTGCCTTCTCTGTCACCAGAGCAGAGCTTCTTCCCCACATCCATGTCTCCCTGGTTGGCAAAGCCACACACCTCCGGTAACATTTCCTCCTGATCCACACAATTCTTCCCTCACCCTGCTCACCTCCATCAATCCTGTCACCTGTGCACAGGGATTTTCACTGCAGACGTGGAGCAGGTCCTTGCCCATGCACAGCTTTGGTGTCACAGCCACATGGACCATCTGGGTGGCTGGGCTGCTCCAGCTTGCCCAAGTCCTCCACACTTTTGGCCAGAAGAAAGTTGATGCTCTGGGCTGTGCAGACGTCCCTCTTCAAATCCAGGGCACCAGGGATGAAGGGACAACACTGCTGGGAATGAGACAGGAGAGGAGACCCAGAGTCCACTGAGGCTGGAGGGCTCATGGTGAGGAGAAGGGATGAAGTGCAGCTGTTTCTAAAACTACTTCAGCATCGTGAGCTTGAAGAGAAAAACTTTTGCATCTGGGCTCAGAGGGGTGGCTGGTTTATTTTTTTACATTTGGTCAAAAAAATTCCCATGCCTAACTGGATAACGTGGTGTGGGCTTGGGACTGGATTAGAGGTCCAGCTGTCATGCCCTGGGAAACCCTGCCTGAGTTTAGGGGGGAAAAGCCTGAAGGTAGATGGGAAAAAAACAGATGTTTTTTGGGTGCATGGCTGTGAGCACCCCATCCCACCAAAGGTGTGAGGTGCCAGGGACTCCCCTCCCCAGGCAGCCTGTGCTGGGAGCTGTCCCTGGGTGGGCTCAGGGGCAGAATGTGGGGGTCTCCCACACTGGCCCAGCTGTCAAAGCTGGCGTGGGGCACCCCAGGGCAGGGCTGGGGCTCAGGAAACTCCTCTGGGGGCTCTGCCCTCCTCAATTTACTGCTGCTGGGGGCCTGGGGGGCCATATAGGGATTTGGGCACCTCTCACCCAAACCTTATACAGAACCAAAGCATCACTTTGTGTCCCTGAATCAACTAATTGATGGTTCTGGTGCAGACAAAAATATAACATAAATTGAAAATACCCACCTTGGCATGCATGTGGGTTAAGTCTGTGTTACTGTTGTCATGGAGGCATCTCCTTCTTATTTGAGCTCCTGTCCTGGTCTTTCCTTATCTGTCTGGATGGTGGTGCTGCTCCATTCAATCCAGCCAGTTTTGCCTCCAAAAGGTATTATTATTTAATTCCCTTTGCAGCTGCCTGCTGCTCTCCATGGCCAAGCAGTTCTTTGGCTGATAAAAAAAACCCAGTTGAGCATCGGTCAGTAAATCAGTGGTAACAGAAGTGCTGAATCATTAAATCTTACACTGTAACCCGTTTTAGCTGGGCTTAGAACATATATCCAGGATTGCAGATGGAGGCAACAGGCTTTAAAGGCAAAACCAAAACATAACACCCAAGGGAGAGCAGAGCAATCCCTGGTTTTCCTGACTGGGGCCAAGATGGCTCCAGCCTGTTTTGGTGCCTGCCTGAATGCAAAAATCCTTTCCCCTGTGAAGAACTGTATATTTTGAATTTGTCCTGAGTTAAAACTTAAAAATAGAACTCTATTTTTTTTTTTTTTAAACAGAGATTCTAAGTCAGAGCCAGCTCTGACGGGAATCATGCAAATTCAGAGCTGCTTTCTGAGCCCTGGCTGCACCTTTGGGTCAAGCAGCTCTTAGCATGAGCCACCACTTAGTGTAATCCTACCTTGCCAACACAGAGAAGTGTGACTCTTGTCCCACAGAGCAGGTGAGATGCCCAGACTGGGCACAGACTTCCTACAAGCACTCATCCTCCCTATTCCACATCCCTGGCATCTTATTTGGGGTGGTGGGAGAGAAGGAAAGCTCAGCACAGGGACACAGCACCTGCTCTTTCAGTACTCACAGCGTGCTTTTTTACTCCCTCCTTACTAGATGAAGGGAGAAGTGAGTTTCTAGAAGATGTTGGGCAAAAGATCCCAGAGCAATCCAGTCCTGGGAAATCTGTTGGATCTAGGCATTGTTCATAGCTACTTACACTCTAGTTTTAGCATCTTGCCAGTAAGATAAAAGTGGTGCCAGCCTTCAGCAAGCTGCAAGGAGATGATGATGCTCTCAGAGCATCACCTGGAGCTCTGTCCTGCCACATGGCTCTTGTCCCATAGCCTGACCTTCAGGAAGAGTCCCTGCAGAGACACCTTCCCCCCAGAGCAAACTGCCCAGTGTAGAGCTGACTGGCTTCTCTCAGGGCTCCAACATCTCCCATCCACACCACCCTCCTCAGGTTTTCCCTTTCCCCCATGTGCAGTGAGCCCAAACCCACCCAAACCTGCTGCTTGTTTCCAGACCAGCCTCACCATGTGGTGTCATCATCTCACCAGCTGCAACATCACCTTCCCATCCAGAGGTTGGAAAAGCATCCCCCATGGAAAAGTTGCTCCAGCAGAGCCACTTTTATCCCAGACCAGGCTGTTTCTTGCTTTCCTGCTTGCTCCCACGTGACGTGACCGTCTGCTTCCCTCATTTCTGAGGCAGCAAAGTAGAACCTCCCTGGACAGAACACAGCACGTGCATCCAGCCTCATCCTTGTGGTGCCCCAATCCTGCTGGCACAGAGCACAACCAGGGCATCTCCCCAGCTTCCACAGGACCCTCTGCCCAGGCACATTCCCTCTGCTGTCACCTTGCACAGAGCTGTTGTCTGCTCTGAGGGATCAGTGGTGAAGGAAAGGTCTCTGTCCTGCCCTGGTCCCTCCCAGGGGGTTTGATCAAACCTGGGTAAGGAGATCTCACTCCTCACAGCAGCGACTTTTCATTGACCAAGCCTAATTCTTGAAGAGTTTTCACAATATTTCAGAAAGGGAAAGAGCTGAAGGCTCCATGGGCTCCTGTGAGGACCTTCCTCCAGGTTAGCAGTGCAAATCCTCAGGGACCACACAACTGGGTGTTCATATTAAACCCTAAAATCAGAGAGGCAAACAGATGAGTCTACAGACAAATGGATGTTGGATGAAGAGAGAAGATAAATAGAAGGATGGAGAGCTGGTGGGAGGAATGAGAAGCAGATACACACAGGGATGGAGGGAGGAATGGCAGGCAGGGAAGGGGACCATGGGATGACTTGTGCAGGCAGACAGTTGGCTGATGGATTCAATAGACAAGAGGCACATCAGTGCATTATTTCCTCCTCTTTCTCTTCTCTGGAGCAGAGGAGAGGATGGCCGGCCCCGGGGCCATGCAGGGGAGCCCGGCAGCAGCCAGGGATATCAGGCAACAGCAGGGCTCTGCCCTCCTGCCCGAGGACAGGCAGGGGCCGGGGTCCCACTGCCCCGTGGGGTGCCCGGCCGGCCCGAGCGTCTGTTCCCTTTGAAGCGGGTGACTCGCAGAGCCGCCGGCAGAGAGGATTTGGCAGGTCGGCACTTCTGCTCCGCGGCAGGCCCCATAACAAGAGGATTGGCTTCCCTCCCTCCAGCACATGGCTCTCCCTCCCCTCCGCGCTCCCCGTTGAACGGCAGCCCAGCCGGCAAGCCCCGACAATCTCCCGTCCCCCTCAGCCCAACCTCATTGTCCCCGGGAGATGCCTCCTTCCCCCTCCCCACCTCTCCCTTCTCTTCCTGGCAAATTCTCCCCCTCCTCCTGGATCCAGCCGCTCTCATAATAGCATCCTTTTCATGGAGACAAATTGTCCAGCCGGGGGCTGCACCTGAGGGCTTTCGCCCTTTAACAAATAGCCTTTTAATTTTCTGCCAGAAGGGCATGGAAAGGGGGGGAAGAGGGAAAAGGGGGGGGTCTGGAGAGGGGGTTGCACAGAGGAGAGAGAATCAATCAGACATCCATCTTCATCATTGCTGCCAAGGGACCATTTGCACTGGCTGGATGCCCCTGAGGGAAGGTGGGGTGAAAAAGAGAAGAGGTTGGGGTGAGGGGGAGGCAGGAGGCGGTGAGGGAGGGGGATCACAGAGCTGTGCCATTCCTGAAATCCACATGGAATGGTTGCCCTCCAGAAAAACAGACAGCAACCCTTAGAGCCCAGGGAAGGGAGCTGAGGGTTGTTTTCCAGCTCTTACTCTGCTCTCCAAAGAGATTGGGTCAAATCCAAAAGAGTCAGTAGCCCCGGCACAGAGCAAAGCAGCAGCCAAGGAGAGCCAGCTCAGGCCATGGGAGATCCCAATCCCTGTCCCCCTGGAAGTGGGGAACTCCAAGTGAGATGAAGAACAAAGAAACACGGGAAGAAACTCCATCAGCACCTTCTCCTCTCTGTTTTCACAGACATCATACACAGCTTCTACCACAAGGCAGGGGAGCCAGAAGAGCTTGAGATTTTCCTCTCCCTGGTGCCTGGGCAGCAAGGAGGGAGCCAGCAGGTGAAATCACCGAATCGCTTTCCTCTCCTCTCCTCCAGATTCTCTCCTGCAAAGGGATATCTCACCACAGTGTCAGCTTTAGCTGGAATCTGTCGCCTTTCCCACCAAAAAATAAGCAAAGAGGTTAATTAGATGTTTGCAATCCAATTTACGTGTTGTTTGTGAAACCAGCATTTCAGCTGTAACCCAGCCTGGGAGCCCCCGTGCCCTCGCTCTTTTGCTAAATTTATTTCACAGCTTTGCAGAACTGGCTCAGCCGGGTCAGAACTCTTCCATTATCATTTTATCGCTGCCTCTTACTCTGTAATTACAAGCTGCTTCCCTCACCCCCTCCCTCCTCTTCTTCCCCAGCCCCCTCCAAGCACAAGGTGGGAGATGCTGGTCTTGCTTTAAGCTTTTTCTACGATTTGTCTCACCCACCGAGGCCTGGGAACAGTTTGGCCCTGGTTGCAGCAGATAAGCAAGGGAAGGTGGCTGGGAGAGGGGGGGGATGCTGTTCTACAGTCTCCACTCCCCAAGGATTAAAATATTCAGATGCACTGATGAATAGCAATGAGTGCTGGAAATGAAGGCCTGGAAACTCAGCATCGGAGAGGCTGGAGTCAATCTGGCAGGAAGGAGACGAGTTGCAGAGTCCTGGAAGTCTGTGGCACATCCCTTCATGTGTCCTGGGCTGACCCTCATTTGTTTCCAGACACTGACTGGGAGGGTGCTGGTTGGCATGGGCCAAAATGGTGCCAGGATAGACACACAGAGGTGGCCAGCACTCTTACCTGTGCCCTGTGGAATGTGCAGGAGGGATTTGGGTGCCCTGTTGGCCAACATTCCCAGTAAGCTCCAGCGAGAGGGAAAGGTCCTTGAGGAGCATCTCAAACGCACATCCCACAGAGCCAGGAACCAGCATCTCCCTGGGCTTCCAGCTCCTCCTCTGTGCACATAGGACAGTCCCAAAGCTGGCACTGCCACCAGAGGACAGTCCCCAGCCAGCACGGTGGCTCATTGCTGGGCTCCACTTGTAGATCCAGGAAATGTGGAGCAGCAGCAGGATCCCCACACCAAGTACCCTCTTTCCTACCCCCCCTTGACATTATAATCCATCCCCTTCCCGAAGCACCAGCCTCCTTCACCTACAGTAAGGGGAAGGGGCCACATCCTCACCAGGGAAGGACCATGTCCTTCTGCCCAAGCTCAGTCTGAAGGACCCTCCCTTACCAAAGTTTAGGGAGAGGAAGTAACAAGCAGAGGGATGCCAACAGCTCTGGGGCACTGTAACATCTTGACCATGGGGACAAGTCACCACAGGACAAAAAAAAATGAGTTTGGGATAGAGGTGGCACTATTTCTGCCCTGGGAGAAAGAGATGCTGCCTTGCTGTGTGGACAGGGCCTGGGTGCAGCTGGACACGGCCAGCAGTGCCCTGCTTTGTTGCAAAATTTGGCTTCACTTCAGTCACCTGTGAGCACAAACCAGACAAGAACTCGCGGGCAGCATGAATACACACACACAGCCAGCTCAATTGCCCATGAGAAGGTTCATGTAATTAACAGGCAGCCAGCTTTTCTTTCTTGTGGCAAAGAAAGGATGGGGAAGGGGGTGTATTTTTCTGTGTCCATCCCCTGCAAGCAAGTTCCTGCAGGACTGTTCTCAGGAGCAGGGACCATGACACAGTCTGTGACCAGGACCCCAGGGGCACAGAGGGATGGACCACAGGCCCCTTTTCCCAGCCCTGATGCCCCTTCATGCACAAAGTGGGTCCGTCCCCTCCTAGGAAGAATTCAGAAAGCCTTTTCCCTGCTAAATCCACAAGTGCAGGGAGCCCCTCTTTTCTGGAAATAGCATAATGATGGGCCCTGCTGCCATGCCATGGTCTGTGCAGCCCCCACTGTGCACTGGGATCCCCATGAGATCACTGGGGACAGTATTTAACACTTGTGTCCATCACACCCCCACACCACGAACACTCCAGTTCCCAACCCTGGAGCACATCTGGCTCTGCCTGTCCCCTTCAACCCTCACATGCCGTGGTGTCCACAGACACACAGCCAGCACCAAGCACAAAGACACCTCCATCCCTCCCTAAAACAAAGATCAAAGCCCCTGCTCGGAGCTGAGGACACCACCCCCTCCCTCCGCTGCTGGAGGAACATTAAAACCCCATTAACCTGGGGTTGTTATTAATCATGCAACATTGCCCAGTGGGGACAGCCCTGACGTGTGAGTGCCCAGGCTCTCACCAGCTCCCCCGGCCCGGCTCCAGGTGACACAGGCACGGAGAAGGTGGGATTGGTTTGTAGCTGTGCGAGCGCTCCAGCTCCAGATAATGAATTTCCTCCACGAGGCAAAGGAGGAAAGAGCTTCGCTGAGATTGGAAATAATCACCCCGAGGCAAGGCAGGGACTGGACTCCAGACGCCTCTCACCCTGCGGATGATAATCCCCTTTGTGACTGGGTTAAGGGCAAGGCGAGGAAACCACGATTTATCATCTGCTTGAACCACATCCATCCTCTGGAAGAAGATTTCCAGCGGTGCTGCAGAGCGCGCCCACGGAGAGGCAGAGATCCCAGGCCAAAATCAACCCCGCAGCTCAGGAGATGTTCACTTTGGAGACCTCCTGAGGACACAGAGGGGACATCTGGGGCACAGGCCGGACAGATTAATGCCAGGAGAGCAAAGCCTTTGCCTGTACGTACGTATGTAGGCTGAAGCCCCATCAAGCCCTCACAGCTCCGTGATATTAAAGCTTTCCCCTCATGCATAGAAGCAAGCAGGGGGGCTAATTGCTTCTTATGACACTATAATGGTAGGACTATTTACACTAGATTAAAATCCAATTCATAATGAGGTATAATAACTTTGCAAATGCCAGGATTTGTCAAAGGGTGAGGAGTGCCACCGAGACAGAGCTGAGCAGCCTCAGACTTGGGGTCCGAGCCTTGGTGTGGGAGGAAGGGGCTCTGGGTTGGTGGGGTTTTGTTGACTTCTCCCTCTTTGGTTGCTTCTTCCACAGGGTAAGCAGATAGAGTGGTGAAAGGGAGTGTGGAGACTAGAACAGCCCTGGAATAGCTTTACAGCCAAGAGGGCAAGGGGGCTGCCCAGGGTCTGCACAGTGCCTGGAGAAGGTGAACTGTGTGTGGACAAGAGGTTGGGCCACCCACAGAAGTACCTGGGCTTTACCTGCCACGTCAGGAACAGAGCTCCTTCCCCAGGGAAGTTTGTTCCAGATGCAGACAAACCAAAATCCTCCGGTCACATTGAATCCCATCAGGTACCAGGAGTGCTGAGGCGGCCTCCAGACCAGGATATGACGACACTCCTATAGAAAACATCACTTGCTGGATGTTGCATATCATGTCACATTCATCAGACACCCCCCCCCCAGAAACTCATCCTCCCTGCCCAGTGCCACAGTGGCCCTTCCCACTCACCCCCGGGCCCATTCAGCCACCCCCACCAAGGACATGAGCAGAGGTGACACACACCCAGCACCTCCATCTCCCCTCACGTTTGTGGGAGGCTCCTGTGGGGAGGGGGGATTTTTGTCCCACAGGAAAGCAGTGGCCGAGATTGAATCCAGTTTGGATTGAATCCAGTTTGGATTTGCTCCCTGCCTCCACCACATGTTTACGGATGTGACCTTGAATGAGCCCAGCAACACATCACTCCTGACGCCTTCAAAAGAGGTATTTATTTATTCCCTGCCAATGACATGGACTGATGGTGCCCTCTGAATTTCAAATAGGACTCGGCTCTGTTTTGATAGTCTGGTTGACTGTGCTGGAAAACAGACAGGGAGGAAAGAGCCCAACAAGCTTCACTTGGAAAGGGAACATTGCTAACCAGATCCCAGGGCTCTGTGAGATTCCTGGATCCCGCTGAGGGGGCTCAGTGTGGCGCTGGCACGTTGCACAGAGGATTTAAGCCATGTACCTCAGGTCTCCAGTGCTCACCAAGGTTCTCTAGTGGATACCAGCACTAGGGAGTGCTCCAAAGGACTGTCATCACCAGAGGGGGAACTGCAGGAGACAACAAGCACCAGGTTTGATGGAGTTGAAGGGGGGACTCAGGTTAAGCGTGAGCCCTGATATGCCAAAGTGAGTCACTCCCCCAGTGTCGCCAGGCTTTCCAAGCCTTCTCACATCTCCACATCTGTTCATGTTCAGAACCGACTGTCTGCTAAAAAAAGCTGACAGAAAACCCTCCAGAAAACTAGTTCTTCAGCACACAGTGCTGTGAATTTGTCAGTCATCCTGCTGGGCACTCAGCACCCCCAGCTCATGGCTGCTGGGCCACTTGCATCAAGGACAAGGGGAGCTGGAAGTAATATTTGATTTCCTAAAGGGCAAGACCCTCTTCTCTATATAAACTCCTCCTCAACAGGATCACTGAAGCAGCTACTCCATGCACAGGAACACAGGAGGAGCATTTAGTTACAAAAATAGCAAAAATCTCAACACTCTGTGCTCGGAAGAAAATCACCTGAGCCTCCAAAACAGCAGAGGCAAATTGAATTGTGCCAAACTCACATTCTCAACAGCAAAGGGCTCTTTCTGGCTGAGGAAGCACTCTCCCAAACTGAGGATGTCCCGTTATCAGGGCAGAACAAGGCCCATCCCATCCTCCCCAAGCAATGTGAGATCTGGGACAGCAGCTGGTGTCAGCCTGAAATCCATGTCCTGCCTCATCTCCACAGTATGGGTGCACCAAAGCAGAAATGTTCTTACCCTTTGGGCCAGGGGTTTTCCTGGCATGCCAGTGATATCTAGGGGTGTGATTTGGTGGGAATAAAGATACCTGACCTGAGGCAGGCTTTGAAATTTTTGGCTAGACTGAAGCTATTTGTCCAGAGCAGCTCCTGGCAGTGGCAGAGCCAAGAGAGTTCTGGCAGCCACAGGACAGGCTGAGGAACCCTCTCTCCTTGGAGGGCATGAACTGGCCACAAGAGCCAGGGCTCTGCAGGGGTAGGAGGTGTGTGGGATGAGGGTGGAGGAGTATCTAACATATCTGTCACCACCACCATGTGACAGACACCCCAACAGACCCTGCCTCGTGACGGGGCTGTCAGGTTTCAAGGAGCATCAAGTGCCTCCTCAGAGCAGAGCTGCTCCTCACACTCTTTTACTCCTTCCTAAGAGGAGGCAGAAGGTGCTCACAAAGCCAGCCTCAAGCAGAACACATGGATGTTGCACGTATCAATATGTTCAAGCTGTAAAGGAGGAGATGTCGAGGAACCCGGCACCTCCAGCCTGACAGATGGAACGGGGCCCAGGAACACCCCTGATCACATGGCACCTCCTAACACCACCCCAGGAGGGGACGAGGCTTCTTGGCCAGGGTCTGAACCAATTACCTTCTGGCAAACGTGATGCCCTTCGATTCACCAGCACTGAAAAGGAAAGCACAATTTTCCCCCATTCTGGTTTTTGTTTGTTGAGAGGGAGAGCGAGCTGGAGGAGGCGGCAGAGCAGAAAGGGATTGAGAGGATGGCACTGCATCCCAATTGGAAAGAGCCAGTGGCCACTGCCCAAGTGAAATTCCAACTTTATGACATAATGGGCTTTTTCTAACCAGCGCTTGCTATTAACTTCGGCACTGGCTTAAACCCCTTGGCCTCAGGCACAAGCAGAGCAGAGCTCATACACTGTAAATGTTAATACTGCTTTAGCACTGTAATAAGCTAAAAGGTGGATGCAAGATCTGGCACATTAATTCCTTTTTTCATCTTTTTAGCACATTTCAGGGTAATATGAATAATAAATATTTGAGCTCATGAAGGTTAACGGATGGATAACCCTGGAGACTGGGACTCCCTGGGTAGGAAGGCAGCAGCTCCCTCCCATATGTTGGCATCTCCAGCAGTGATCCAGGGAATTTGCCTCCTCCTGAGAAGCTGGAGGTGCTTCTTGGCAGGGAAATGTCTGACATAAAAACTTGTTGCCTGGCATACTTGTTTACACTTCAAATGTTTGGGCTGGGGAATGAGTAAAGGCAGATGTTTCCAAGCATCACAGGGCAAAGCTATGGAGAGAGAGGAGAACCTCCTCCATCTCAGCACAAGCTCTTGGTTTCCATTGAACAACAGCCAGGTTTGGTCAGCAAAGGGCCCCGATCTCAGAGCTGTTTAGGCATCTAATTCCTATTGCAACCAGGTGTAGATTCACCTGGACTGAGAGCCTTGGTGGCAGAGTAAGGGAGCTGAGCACACACCTCTGGAGTTTTAAACTCCACTTGAGTCTGCTGTCACTGAGGGAACGTTCTAAAGGCAGAGCTCTGCATGGACATGACCCAGACATCTTCATCAGCCCCAAGGCTCCTGGTCTGACCTTGTTTTGCAGGTGCTGGGCCTGACTGACAGGGCTTTGATATCTGTCAGGCTGCAGCAGCACAACTCCTCGAGGAGAGCATCTGCGGATGCTCTGGGACAGTTGGGTGAAAAACTTCCTTGGAGCTGGGAAAGCTCTGCCCATCACCTCTGGATACAAAAACATGGAGAGGAGGGCTCTGGGAGAAAGTCACACTGCTTTAGCATCCAGTCAGGTGCCACAAGGGAGGCTCAGCTCACCCCATGTGGTGCAAACCATGTGGGCTTGCAGCGAAGGAGTCTGAAGGGATGCAGAAAATCTTCTAATCCAACAAGACAGGAATGCTAAAAAAGGAACATGTCAGGAGAGAAAGGGTAAGTCTAATGACCCAGGAAAGGGTTTGAACCCTGTGCTGGGAGAGCAGACACTGCAGCAGGTTAATTCCCATTGTTTACCTATCACAAAGGCCTGTCAGGTCTCCCAGTTACTGGGAGAAAAGGGGTTGGGATGAACATGGATGTGATCACCTGGGGTGGAAGATGTGGGGATTGCCCAGATTTCACCTGCTGTTACAGTTTTGTCTTCCTGACCCACACGGTACAGACAATGCCTGAGACTGTCACATCCAACAAGCAAGCCCTCTTGCTGGGAAAGGCCCAGCAGAAGTTCTACTCTCATTTTAATCTGTGGTCCAAGGCTGGTGGGCACCAGCACGGTGGGACAGAGAAGGCACATCCCTACCCCTGGTAGCCAGTGATGGGGTGGGTGTCACAATGTGCCACTGGAGCTTAAGTTGCAGGAGAAAGGTCTTGACTGTGCCACCAACCTGAAGTAAGGATTTAGTTCCCATCCTGAGCCTGATGGGGTGGTCCAGGATCTTCAGGGGGTGGTGGGGGCAGGGATGCTGCATCCCCTCCTCAGATTCCTTATGCCCCATCCCGAACAGTGGTGCAGGAAGCTGGGATAAGCAAGGAACACAGGGCTTGTGCCAGTTTGGGAGGACAGTCAGGGGGACAGGGCAGCTGTGGGCCTGGCAGGGGACACGGGAAGGGCAGGCTGGGGAAGCACTGCTGATGGAGAGGGGAGCACGGAGCTGGGTGTCAGGGGCCAAGGGGTGACTGCTGCGAGTCTCTGGGACCCTCATCGGGGAGCAGCCCACGGAAACACGCGGCTGGGGAGCACTGGTGGGCAGGACATTGTGTGCTGGGGGGCTGCGAGCGCGGCTCCCCCCGGCACGGAGCCCACGTGAGCTGTGCACACCGACCACGGCTGTGCAGCCACAACCTGCCCCTCGTCCCCTGACCCGGGGAGGGGGGACCTGCCCGCCGCCCCTTGGGGTGCGAGCCTGGATGCTGCGCGAGGAGGGGAGCGACGAGTCCCCCGCCCTCCAACCCCCCTGTTTGCCTTTCGTTTTGCTCACTGTTGCGTGACCGCCGAGCCCCCCTCCCCTGGCAATCCTTGGGGGATATCAAGGGCAAGGAAGAGAAGGGTTACCTGGAGGAAAGGGTTGCTAAGCAACTCCCCCCTCCGACCCCCCCCCCCAAGCACCGCAAACCCAAAACTCGTTCCAGGCCTGCAACCAGATTAGCATATTAATGAGGCTGTAATTTCCCCGGAATTGTCTGCACGTCTATGCCCGCTCACAGCACACTGGCCCAGGAGTTTGCTATGCAAATAAACTGGTTTTACAGGCTGTGGCTTAATTAACTCATCAAGTTCATCTTCCTAACAAAAAAGGCAGACTAACTGCGGATTAATGGACCTGTGTTTGCTCTTCTTTCTCTCCCCCTCTCACCCAGTCCCTCCCGGAGGCACTGCCTCCCTCCAGACCCTTCCGTGCCCGGCCGCTCCAGCCTCAGTGCTGGGGAGATCCTCCAGCCTCGCAAAGAGATAAATCCTGGGAAAAGAGATGGGGGGGAAGGAATCTTAATACCGTTTCCAGCAGAGTCGGGGAGGTTTCCTCATCGACTTCAAGGGGAATAAGATGGATCAGGCCTCAAGGATGGTAATTACG